ATGCTTGAATTATTTCAGTGAAGCCAAAAGGAATTTTAAGTAAGCTTTAATAAATTCGTCTATAGTAAATTATTCTCTTTGCTGTTTGCTAGCTAACTATTCTGACATGGTGTCCAAGGGAACTAACTCCCTCAACCACAGATCCAATTCAGTCAGTATACGACCAGTAAGTTGACTTATAATTTAAACGGAATAACTTGTACTAATTTATACCGTAGTTTACTTATTTCTAGGTGAAGTGTTTAACTCGAGTGGTTTTACTTCAAAACAAACTGAAAAGTATTACGTAGCTTAATTAGAATACGAATAGCGACCATTTTATAAATTCTGAAATTAAAAAGACAAGTTTTCACGGTATCCTCTCATTGAAACAGCGTTCTGAATCTCCATAATTAAATTTATTTTAAATATTATTGTCAATAACAAAGGTTTTGCTGAAAATATTATTCATAATTAGTTACCAGTTATATAAATACTTTTTTTTAAATTAATAATAGTTATAACGGAATAAACATTTTAATTAATCATTGTTGTCATTGTATACGCTAATATTGAAGTCACTATATATCATATAAAAAATGTTTACATAAAAATATTTACAAAATGTATATAAAGTTTTAGTTAAGTAAAATAAATTTTAGGTATTTATTTTAGGTGGGTGCTAACAATGTATATTTAATATCATAAAATTTTGGAGATTTATTAAACACATTATCAAAGAAATTGAAAACCATCCCACAAAACTTATAATGATACAAAAAAAATAGTATACAAGATTTTAAAAGTTCCCATTATAACTTGTAAAAGAAACTATAAAAGAAGGGTAATGATATTGAATTTTTAATAACTATCAAACACAGGAGAATAATTTTGATGTACGTATGAATAATATTCTAAACATAACACTTTAGGAGTATTCTAAACATAACACTGTAGGAGAGCTTCAAAAGCAAGAGGCAAATTAAAGTTTTTTGAGAAAACTTAAATAACACGTTGTGATCAATACAATACGAATCAATGTTATTCGCGCTAAGATGGTATAACTTTCTAACACTAGTTAGTGACATGATTGCCTTATATTACTCAAAATTTAAGTTTTCTATTAAAAAAGTGTTTCAAAAACATTGAGTTACAATGTGGGACTATTTCAAGGCTGTTATTTACCTCCAACAATAATTAATATTGTAAATAATATCAAAGTAGATAAACTAATTAGCAACGAAAAAAATGGTGTAATCGGTTCAAATTTAATAATGAAAACACGAATCCATTCTAGCCTTCGCTGACGGTCTTCCAATACTGACACGTAACCCCAAACACTGTCAAGTACTATTGGATGAAGTGGATAAATTCTGTGAGTGGACGGAAGGATTGAGGAAAAAACCAAGTAAATGTCATGTCTGTGTTTCGGTAGACGGAATACAAGATACACCTCATTCGATCCGGGATTATTGTTTGGCGGTCAATTCGTTGTGATGAGTCTAAAAAGTCTATCTGAGCTCTATAAACACATAAGAGTTTCCAAGAGACATGTCCTGTGGAAATGCCATGATGACATCTTTACATAACTCCCAAAAAAGAAACGATGCCCTAGAGTTGGAATGAAAACTTTATTCCATAAACTGTTTATGAAAGAGCACAAAGTAACAAAATAGGGTTTGGATCATGTAAGAAGGCATAGGATAAGGATATATTAAAGTACTTTATTCGGCAGGACAATAATTCTAAATAGAAGATTTTTGCATCCCATCAGCATTAATATGTTGCAACTTAATTCAAAATTAGTCGGCAGCAATGCTAAAATTTTATCTCTATACATTAAAGCGGCTTCAGATTGGATTATAATGAGCTTACGGTTCCTTGGAAGACCAACATCCCTGAAGACCCTGCCATGAAGGTCAACAAGTATTGCGAGCTTACTAACAAACTCACTAAGAATAGGTTCGTTGTAAATTTGTAAGCCGAAGAAGTGGGAGCGAGAGCTATAATCTCCCTAGCTAACAATAAATCTCTCTACAACCTACTAGAAGACTATGGCCTGTGCAGATCAGTTCATTCTTGTAACTTGTAAGTGTAGTAAGTTCGTTTTAAATTGGGTTAGCTAGAGAGAGGAGCTTGGAGAGTGAAGGTGAGCTTTTAAAGCGCTTTAGATAGGGGCCCCTAAATCGACAACTGGGCCGCAAGTCTTAGGCACTGTTGAAGCTCATCTCCCTAGAATGCGATGGATCCGCACCCGCATAGTGAATCCATGAAATGCTGGAAGGTTTCGTCTCATAACACTAATAAATTTAAATGCACTAAATAGTAAATAATAATTGATAAATATTTTATAATCTTAATACGTATTTAAATGAAAATAAACACAATATTTTAATCAAAAGAATCTTTTATAATTTTAGAAACGGTCTGAAATAATAATAAATTTTCTGAATAAAGCAATTGTTGCAGTTTGATCCGTTGATAAATGTTACGTTTGATATATATTTATTTTATTGATAAATCATTTACGCAGTGATGACTTTGTACACTATCGTAAAAAATAAATTACAGTTACGATATAGCTGACATTTTGTTATGCAAACCTAAATCAAATTGTTAAATATCACTACGGATAATTTTGTTTTAAACCACTTTAATATAAAATTATAAATTGTTTTAATTATAACCATCAATCTATTTCACATAGTTTGATTCTGGTGGTATGTTAATTATTTTGTTAGACCAAAAACTCTGAACAGATTATAATAAATTGTAGAGTTGAGAAAACAAATTTTGAAGTATCTTTCATCTAAACATATAGAAAACATGTAAACGGCAAAGACGAACGACGCGGTCGGCTATAAGTCAAAATTTAAATCAGAATTAAGATATATTTTTTTTTGTTTCAGCGTGGTTGAAAGATATTATTATGGTGGAAAGTCGTGTGATAGAAAGTTATTCCCATTAGGTCCTTATAAAAAAGTAAAATAAAAGCAACAAATGAGAGATGGGGTTCCAACAGCTGAATGAAATAAGATATTATTATTATTATTTTATTTGAATGGCACATCAACAGTACATACATTAAGCACTTAAAACTAACAATTTAAAACTGACACTTAACTGATCTGTGTACCAATTATAGGCGTACTCGTACATAGCACTGCTAAAAATTACTGTCTATCTGCTTAGAAAAATATTATAAAAAAATAAGTTTACAAAAGAAATTTCAATAACAAAACTATAACGAAAAAAATACAAATAACAAAAGAAGAAAGAAAATCAAATAACAATCAAGATAAAGTACTACAGCTAAATTTTACTAACAGGACTTGACAAAACATCACAAATTTTTCGCTTAAACTTCGGCAAGGAATCGGAAAAAACAATATTTTGGGTTAATGCACACAGATCGTTATACTGACCACATATACTATTTATCGGGGAATATTTAGCAACATTTGTATGTGACTTCGCTACATAAAACAATTTATTATTAGGTTTTCTAGGAGAGCGACATGGGACTAAGATATTAATTTTATGGAGAGCCTGTTCACATTGGACAGTGCCATTCATAATTTTAAATAATAAAATTTTCTTCGATTTGGCAAGGTTTCCATTTAAAAAAAAATTTAGACGACTCTTGTATGTCGCTCTATGGGATATGCCACTACATGCAAAAGCTAGATGTCTATTGAAAGCGCGTTGAATCGATTCAACTCTTTGTGAATTAACAGCGTATATAGGGTATATTATTTTGATCTTCTACGTAAAGTTACTAACTTTAAAGTTTAAATTACGTGAAATATAACCTTTTTTTTATATCAAAGGTGGCAAACGAGCAGACGGCCTACATGGTGTAAGGTAGTTCCGTCGCCCATGGACATCCGCAACATGTTTGTTATGGATGCGTTGCCAACCTTGTTTTGTTAGGAATAGGAAGGGGTGGGAATAAGGAAATGATAGGAAAGGGTGGGAAATAGGAAAAGGGCAACCGGCTCTCTCACTCATCGGACGAAACGCAGCCATAAAGGCTACTTCACGCCGATCTTCTGTGAGAGGGTGGTACTTCCCCGGTCGAGCCAGCCCATGTTCGAGCTGTAGTAACTTACCACAGCTAGGCTCTACCACCTAAAAAACTCCACTCCCGGTAAGAGCTAATAATATGATGATTCTATAAAATTGACGTATTCTATACTGTGGTCAAACTTAAACTAACTTTATTTATATTAATATTTTTTGCTGGATTAGATTAAAACATTTCAGTGGAAGGATTTGTTTGGCTTAATCTTTTTAAATTATTCGAAAAACTCAAGTATTCACTATTAAATACTCTACTTTTCGTATTCAATTTAAATTTAAGGTAATTTTGAACTATAGTTGAGAATTCCATGAGAGTATATAAATTCCTACGATGACAATTCCATAATGGAACACTCGCTTAGGTATTAATCTGCATTCTGCACACATCGTAGTTGTGCTAATGTTACTGTTAACATTAGTGACGACTCAGTAGAATATGTTCAGACTGATAAGCTTATTCCGGTAATAATTAAAAGGAAAATTTAAACATTTAATATTACATTCAACGACCTATATTTTTTCATGAGGGACATTTGCTTAAATGTCTCACGTGAAAATATAATATACACATAATTATATCCATTGTTAATCTCATCAATCATTACTTACTCAAGTAATTCATCACCAACTTCCTAATAGTAATAAGATCGGTATTAATAAGTAATTAATTTATACCGCATATAGTATACTGTAATGTTACGAGAAATTAATGAAACTACCCATTAAATAGAGTAACCATAATTCATATATGTACATGTGTGACTAATTGTTAACCGATAGTATTTTTAAAAACACATCAGCAACAAAGTTCCAGACCAGACGAAACCTCTTAGCATTCGATGGATTCACCGTGCGGGTGCCGGGTCCATCGCGTTGCAGGGAGAGGAGCTTCAACAGTGCCTGGGACTTGCGACCCAGGTGTAGGTTTAAGGGGCCCCTTAACTAACGCGCGTTATACGCTCACCTCCACTGTCCAAGTTCCTCTCCCTACCTAACCAAATTTGAAAAGAACCTACTAGGGCTGCCTTCGACGTACGTTCTAAGAATGAATTAATGTTAGTTCTGGACAGGCCCAAGTCTTTTAGTAGGTTATAGAGAGATTTAGCTGTTATACCTCTCGCTCCCACCTCTACCGCGTACAAATCAACGACGAACCTATTTCGAGTTAGTTCGTTAGTGAGCTCGTAATACTTATTGACCTTGATGGCATGGTCTTTGGGGATGTTGGTTTCCCAAGGCACCGTAAGCTCTATCATCACAACGCGCTTTAAAATACGCGAATATAGAAATATGTCTGGTCTGGAGGCCGACGCACAAATATCCTCGGGAATTTTGTATTGTTTCTCATACGTATCCATCATGATAGTCCAATCCGAAGCCGCTTTAAGGATTGAGTAAGGCTTGACGTTTGATTTTATAGCCCTGGTGCCCTCTCTCACAAAACCTATTGATCGCTCGTTTGTGGTTATTTCCCTTTGCGCTCTGGCTACCGAAAGACTAACCGCTTCACGTATGATCTCTAAAACCCTATCGTGACGACGCGAGTATTGACCGCTGTCCAGGAGAACCTTACATCCCACCAGCAAATGCTTGGCAGTTCCAACTGCCTTTCCGCAGATATAGCAAGTTTTTTCGGTACCTTTACCCCATCTTACTAAATTACTCTGATCTGGGAGAGTCATCTGGAACGCATTGAGATAAAATTTTAGCAAGGCTGGCGACCAGTCATGAATTAGGGTGCGCCATTTTAGTGCTAGTGGAATGCAAAAATCTCCTATGTCTAACCACTCGTTCTGCATTTCTAAACTCATTGCATGGATCTTGTATTTATCGTTCTCGTCTTGCCGAATAAAAGACTTCAATATATCCGTATCTTGGACTTTCCTACTTGATCCTAACCCTACTCTGTTATTTTGCGCTCCGATCATAAATTGTTTATGGAATTGAAGTCGTGACTCTAGCTCTGGGGCATCATTGTCTTTTGGGAGTGATGTAACGACGTCATCATGGGATTTTCCCAGGATATGTCTCTTGGAAACTCTTAGGTGTTTGTAGAGCTCTGATGGTCTTTTTAGATTCATCCCAAAACTATTACGATCCCTGAATAAAGCCGATGAATCAGCCGTTAGCGCGAGCCCGAGCCACAACTTCAACATCTTTATGACGCCTGCATCTAATTTAGATAAAAGGGTTTTACTAAAATCATAGACGAGGAAAGGCCAATTCAAACGTGAAGTTAAGTAATTATCGTAGATCCATGCTTTTTTACGTTACTGATCTGCTGGCTATCTACCTTGTTGAGATCATTTAAAAAGCTATCTACTATTCCTTCTAAAGATGGAGTACGACCTATATTATCAATCTTACGACCGAGAAACTTGAATGGTGCATTTTCCGTAACCGTAGAAACGCATTGACCGCCTATCGATAGTCCCGGATCGTATGAAGTGTATCTTGTATTCCGCCTACCAAGACACAGACAGTGACATTTACTTGGTTTTGTCCTCAATCCATCCGTCCACTCACAGAATTTATCCACTTCATCCAATAGTACTTGACAGTGTTTGGGGTGACGTGTCAGTATTGCGAGATCGTCAGCGAAGGCTAAAATGGATTCCGTGTATTTGTTATTGAACTTAAACCGATACCCCCATTTTTTCTCATTGCTTATAAGTTTATCTACTAGGATATTAATTACAATATTAAATACTATTGGAGATAAACAGCACCCTTGGAATAGTCCTACATTGTAACTCAAACAAGTATAAAAAGTAGTAGTAGTAGTAGTATAAAAAGTAATTTATACGTAATTTCCGTCGCAAATCATTGAAATAACTTGAAGTTAATAAAAGTAGCAAATGCGCCATAATATTGTAAAAGGAATAAATTATTATAGGAGAACAGAAATGTGAGAAATGAATTCAATATAATTTATAATCTTTTGTCGTAGATTTTAATATAAAAAGAAATTGCGGTTTGTCAGTGAGTTGTAAATATATGTCATCAGCCTATGAACGCCCACTGCTGAGCATAGCCTCTTCTCACATGGAGAAGGTTTGAGCATTAATCACCACGCTTGCTTGTAAATATATATTAAAGTCTAATTCCAGATCTTTATATTTTTCTACCAGTCAACTATTCTTTGAAAATTTTATGTATTTATGTTCTCTTTTATATTTTTAAAATTATTAAAGATATTCAATTTTACGATGAAGAATATATGGATTTGTATTGTACCATAAATATCTAAAGTTGAGGAGCATAATAACATAAAACATATAAGAAAAACCACGGGTAGAAATTATATCACAATAATAATTTGAAATGCGTAGGAGGTAATTTTATTTTTGGATTTCTTCCACATCGTACTTATGACAAAATTGTTAAAAGTCAGACGTTCCGAATATATTTAGCCTATAAATAAGTTACTATGAATTGAACCTGAAGTCAAACTAAATCAAATAAAATCATAGGCTAAATTCAATATAAATAGTTAATAGTTATCGCATCTTTTATGGCAAATCACATATCCTCGCTAATTAAGAGACAAGAACGTACAGAGATTAAGCCTCGAGGCTATTGAAGATAAAAATGTCGAAATATCAATAGAAAATATTATTGTCAATTCTCCTTCACCTGGGATACCCTCATCAAAAATATTAAACTTCATTTCTTTAACCTTATACTGTCAGTTGGCCAATAGTTGGAAAATTACAAAAAAATTGCGCTAAGAACAGAATACTAAACTACCTGACGGACACTTTCATCAAATTAATGTGCGATTAAAGTTTCTGCACAGTAATGGAAACATCGCTAAAATGTATAATAATAAAATCCGCAAGTATATGTTAAAAACAGATTATTATTTAATGTACATTCGCGAAAGTCTTCGCTATTGCTATTAAACCCATAAATTTTCGTATGATTTTTTTTTTAACTAAAGTCTTTTTAATAATTAGAAATGCCTCTTATTTGTTATTAAATGCAACATGTTGTTGCACAGTAATGTCAATAGGACGATAAAAAGTTTTTTAAGAACTCCAAAAGTAGTACATAATCTAATTACAGAAAATAAACTGGAAAAAAATTCTTATTCGTTCCTTTAATATAGACACATATCTTTTGAATTCTTCAGTAAGCCTACTCTTGTAATTTATTCGAACCGTGGTGCTTTTAATACATTCATTTTGAATGTGTACATTCACAAGATAGAGATATCGATACTGTATTAAGTATTGAGGTGTCCTCAAATCTTAACTTTAGGTACTTGACGTGACGAAGCTATAAGCTTCCTTCTTCCACGGCAATGGTTTTCGTCCACTTATAATAAGAATATCTTCAAGGCAATATTGGACAGGCTCTTATTAGGGTAGTGAGTATAGTATAGTTAAAATGGTAGTCAGGTAAAATAATTTCATATTTTTTAATGGAAAACGGTTTAAATAATTTGAATACATATTAATTTGTTACAATATTATCGTTCATTTTCGAAATGTAAATCTTTTTAGATTTCAAATATTATTAATAATCTTTTTGTTTTTTGTACGATGATAAGATACAAATAAAGAAAACGAGATAGGTAATATAAGTCTTGTTACTTATAGATAAGTAAATTAGAAATATCTTTGTAAGAAATCAATACTTACAAACTATCCCGTAGACTTCAAGGCTTAGAGGAATAATAAAACGTCAAAGCTTTTGTATCGTAAGCGACGTAGTTTTAATAATAAAACTAGACCTTCTTTAAAAGGCTTTCATTACTTTCAATAATGTTAAACCTAAAATCTTTCTGAAAATATTTAATGTACCTATTTCTTATTTAGTTTTTTAATCAATTAAAAGCTTTTTCTATAATTCCAGCTTCGTAAATAGTTTATTACTTAGTTTTCGTTGAGGGAAAATAAGGAATCAATTTTAATTACTCCACCCATGCAAAAAATATCCTTGGATTAACACAAAGAAAAAGGTAGTTATCATATCTTCCTAATATGTAAATAACAATGAGCACTTGGCAATAACAAAATTATTTGGAAATCAAAGAGAAGAAATATAATTTTCTGTATCTATAAGTCGTTTCTAACGTCCCATTATGTTACTTTTCTATTCTCATACAAGAGCTAACCCAGCCTATGTTCAATATATAAATAAAATGAAGACATCCTTTAGATTATACTTAGATTTATAATACTTTATGAAATACATACGTTTATATGCACGTACGTATGTACCGAGGTTAAATGAATGCGTATATGTGGTACTTACAACAAAGAATGTTTTTTTTGTGTTCTTTTGTCCCCGTTTATCTCCGGAATTTATATGGCACGGAGTTGATGTTACAAAATGCCACGACTAAAGAAAAAAGCTAATTTAATTTAATTTGAACAAAATAGTCAAGACTGAAACTCTCACGAAGATATTTTTGTAAGAAGAATATTTACAAAATATTAAAACAATTTTGCTTGATAATTTTATTAAATAATATTGTACATTGGAAGATTTTTCAAAGCTCTATTCAATTTTCCAACATGGCTAAGCTCAAAAAACTCAGAGAGAAATACGATATCATTTTGATGGTTTCATTCGTAACGATAGTTTTATATTCCTTCTTCAATACTTCTATATGTATATATATAAGTAAGCGGTAGGCTAATTGGAATTGAGAGTTAGTAATCATTACATTTTCGAATAATTATATTGACACTTTCCTTTAAATTTTTAATTAAAAAAACTCTTAAATATTATAAAGACCCGAATATTTAGTTATCTATATTACACGATTGATGTATTTTTAACCATAATAACTCCAAAACTCCATAACCAACAATAAAAAAAAACACTTCAATTTCAATTCCCTCGCGGTATAAATATTTTTAAAATATTTTACAAAAGCAATTTATTTATTAATAAGTTTGGAATTGCCCAATACTATGTTTTAAATTGACAAACCCTAACATATAACGAAATTCATTTTTTTAATATTTTACCAATATTTTTTAATTCCTTATGAAATACAAAATAGACTTACATTTAACTCCACAAAAACATATTGCCCTAATTAAAATTGCTGAAAACAATAAAGCCTACACTCTCAATAACTAGAACGTACATGGAATAAAAAATAGAACGTGTTTTTCAAATACGTTCATTGTTTCAACAAAGTAAAAACTTTTAACATATAATGCAACTAAAATGCCTATAGTAATTATATATATTCAACTTATTAAAGAATTAATATTATATCTATTAGTTTAATAAAGCGTAAGCTCGGATCAAAAGTGCTATATAAAGCTTTGAAAATGCTCACAAACGCATAGCTAATCGCGACACGAGGGAATCAATTCAATTTGTCCATCAATATGAGCTACTTACTACCTGTAACAGGTATGGGCTGGCAGGGGCCAGGGCGGGCGGGATAGGGAACAGTGCAATCGCTGCCTCAGTGAAGAGTAGACGCGCGCGCCAACAACCACTCGACCGAACTTATAGTGTAACGTTTAAATCAAGTGCACAGTTCAAAGTTGTGGTATACGTGTTATATTATTTTGGATCGTATATAGGTAGGTAAAAATCTATATAATTTTTAATATTATTCAACCGAGAATATATCATAAAGGATGTATATTTTATAAACTGAAATAGCTTTACCGAATGCTTGCTTTAGGTTCGTAATTCACAGTCATTCGTTTTGCGTAAATGTTTCCCGCTTGTTTTGTAAAATTTAACGATTTAATTTAATATGGAATGAAACAATCGAGAACAAAGCTCGGCTATCGCGGATTTAACTTGTTGCATACAGCGGTAATATTACCTCGTTTGCAGAATTAACGTTGAATTTAAGTTTCACTCATTTATTATAAGAAATATTATCATTTACCATGTAAGTAAAATATTATAATTAATCGCAAAAACATAATGGAATAAAAATAATCACAGATTAAAGTCATTTATTCGTTAGAGTAGTAAAAAGTACTAATGCTTTAAATAAAAAATATTTGTCTCCAAATGTTTCAACTAAATGTTTAATAAGATTTTACCACATTGATCTTTCTAATGAAACTTCAAGCCATGTTAAATAGAAACTTTGACAAAGGACTGTTTAAGAGAATTTGTAATCCGAGTTCGATTCTAATATCAAACTAGCTGAAGATTAGATATG